GCAGGTCATCATAGAAAACCACCTTTATTCGCTTTACATACAGCATACGAAATTACTGACACAAAGCACAAACACAAGATGAACCAAACGTAACTTCCACCGTGAACACTGGATGGTGATACTCTGCACCTATGTAACTTCACCAGCCACTGTTGTGCGGCTCCGGTGCTGCCGTCCTGGCACAGGGGTGCACCCTCCCGCTCGCCCATGAGCCGCCGCCGCCGCCGGCCTTGTCTTCAACCTTATTAGGCCTCCTGTTATTATCCTCCTCTCCCTCGCCCAAGTCCTCATTGGACTTCTTCTCTTTCTCTTGAGCCTTTAGGTTCCTCATCCTGCATCTCTCCTGCTGCACGTGGATTTGCGCGTAGCTGAAACCCATGGAAGCCATCTTGGATCTGAAACCGTGCGTGGAGCGAGATAGAGCAGGCTGGTGTTTCCAGCTTGTTTGTAGATGCTGCTGTGTCGATATAGATGTGTATTTATAGGTGGGGTGTTGGGATTATTGGGGGTGGGCAGTGGGGCAGTGGGCACCATGCCATGGATTTCTGCTCTTGTTGATACCTGTGGGCTTATCTTCTCCGGTGGCGCCCGTTAGGTGTCACAAGTGGGACAGTTTGGAGGCTGCAATAACTGTCCGAAAATGAAAAGCATGCTAGCTTGTGGGGGCGTGGCTGGATGCATACCCGTGGGCAACCCCCCTAGTATTTGGTTATCGAATTTCAAGAATCAATGTAAACTTGAGTCCGTTCGTTTTAAGGATGATTAGTTCAACCTTCTGTGTTTAGCTTGATGCTTTTAGCTAGATTTGTATGTAACACCCTCTCTTCTGTTTTAAATTAATTAAAAAGTTGCTCACTGTGGGGATCTCCCCCATAGTCTTTTCGGTAAAAAAAAATGCATGTGGTTTTTGGTCAAGGACTGCAACATGTCTACATCAGCCTGACCTGGTTCGTGGTGACTGTGACACGTCACTTTTGTCTTGCAAGTTTATCATCCATAACGAAATATTGGTGCCACTAATGCAAGATATAATTTTCTGAAATAAGCATCCAACTTGCTAAAGACATTCGGTTGTGTGATTATTTAATGCTGATGTGCATATGCCGGGGGCTCTCGGCAAAGCCCTCAAATTAACGGTTCAGCCATTTTCCTACGCGCCCTTCCTCGATCTGACGTGCTGCCCTCCTTGGCGGCGAGGCCCCTACTTGAATGCTTCCCCGGCAGCAAGGGCTCCCTTCCTCTATCGATGAGGGGACTCATCGATCGGCGGCTCCCTTCCCTTGGGGGACCCACGAATGCGATTGCAGACATGGCCAAGTTTGTCTATGACGAGAAGGAAGAAAAGAAAGAGAATGACAACCAGATCCCGCATGTCATTCTCTACTAGAATAAATTTGAGGACCATGATGTAAGGGCTTCTGCTAGAGCAGAGGGAGCCCTCAAACCAAAAGTAGGGTCTTGATTTAAGGGCTCTTGCTGGAGTTGCTCTAACTAAATATTCCCTTCGTTTCAAATTATAATTTGTTTTGATTTTTTTAGTACATTAATTTTGCTATGTATGTAGATATAACACAGCAAAATCTATATACTAAAAATATTAAAGTAACTTATAATTTGGAACAGAGGGAGTACGAAGAAAAAATAAATGATTTTAAACATATATACCAGTCTAATTAAGAAGATAAGGCTAACTAAGAAAATTATGTCCAATCTACTTAAGGATGCACAAGAAAAACAATTTCCACATTAAAAATTAAAAGAATCTGACATAATTGTATTTCTCTCCATGATACATTAATCATACATCCACTACATAAAAATCGTTCATTATTGACACAATATAAGTAACGGTCACTTACGACCTATCACTAATTTGTGGTTAGTGATGAATGCTAATAGTAATAGGAGTCGTTCCTTACGTGGCCTTGATAACAGTCCAGTTGCTTTTGACGGGTAAAAAGGAGATAGTTATGTGTTTCCACTTGACTCGGGATCACCTTATCCACTCGATTTTTCATCTTGAAATCACACCCGAGTCTTGATCCACTCCAACAAAAACTTTGCCTTAGATCCTCTTCCCAAGCATTTTCTGCTAGCTTGTAACGACCTCCTTCCTAAGCACCCACCGCTAGCCTCCTATTTCCCTCCCAAGTCTAAATCCTCTTCATTCTAGGGGAAATTCATATAATCCAGCCACTAGGTTATGCTAATCTAGCTATTCACCTCTACCATACTATTTGAAGATAATAGGTGTGAAACACCTCCAACACCACCTATAATCTTTGGGTATAATGTACAAATCTATATAGATCTCATTTTGTTTATCTTGAATCTAGATTCTTAAATTATTATCTACAATCCAGATATCACTGAAATGTACCCAAGATACCTTAATGCATGAACAACAGCCCAAATAGAATAGGGTACACCAAACAGGCTACACGAGAGAAGCCCAAACGAAATGGGGTACACCATCTATTTGTTAGACAAGACATAGCAAGATATACTTAGAAACCAACTATTTTCTTGTAATGAACTAGGAAACCGACATTGTGCTGTGTAATTCTAAAAAAACGAGGAAACCCACATGTAAACCGATCAGGACAATATCTATAACCCCAGCCTTCGGACTATATAATGAGGGGTGGGGAGCTCCCAACCCATATCTAGAACAAAAGTTCATAGCAACCCTAGACAACAAGTCATCAGTGCCCCTGTAAACCTGAGCATAAGAAATAAGTGATCTACTCTCCACTGGACGAAATATACAAGAGATCTTCTACTCTCTAATGGACGTAGGGTATCTCATATCTGAACCTGTATAAATCTGTGTTTCGTGTGCCACCCTTCTGATTCTCTGTGCGCGATACACTGATCCGCATTGCTGGAGCTAATACCTCGAACACCATATTTTCATAATCTTTAGGAAAAAAATAGTCCCATAGTAGCTTTGACCGATTTAGATGTGGTATTTTGTATCTACACTTGTATATACTACCAACCCCATCTAGGGTAGAAAGGTACAGTGAAATTACCACAAGGCAAATGGTTTAGAGCCAATGAGCCATAGACAACGTCCTCATGTGGAATTTTTTATGTGGATGTACAGTGTCCTCTTCCATCTCTCTCAGCTCCTAAAGCAAGAAGCAAAGGGATAATATTTTGCTTCTTTAAGGCCTTTTTTGATACATGTGTATTCACTTCAATCCACATGTATTGGAGTGAAAAATGGAATGGAACTCAGTTTAATTCCACTCCAATCCACTTCAACACATGTGGATTGTGATGAATACATGCGCATCCAAACAAGGCCTAAATGGTGTGGATTTTGTCACCCCATGGTACCTTGGACAGTGTAAGAATATTGCAAAAGCATATGGTCGGGAGAGAACGGCCTCCACTAGGGGGTCTGGGGGCCAAGATCAGACAGGAAGATCAATGATTCTATAATTATTTAATGCACTGCGGTCAAAAATAGTGATTTCGCTATAAAGTTGAATTAAACATCAATAGTGTGTTAGCCTTTAGCCGTGTTGGCTGCAGGTCAGCATGAACAGCTTGTCAGCTTCTGCTCGCGGTCCGTAGTTCCCTTGTACAAGTGTACCAAGGAGAAAGGAGTGAGCGAGCCAGACTTTTTAGACATCATGCTCATATATATGTCTGCATCAACTCAGCTTTATCTGAGGTTGTCGACTTTGAGTCATATAATGCAAACGGGCTTGTCGGCAAACATGCAAATGGACTTAATTTTTACAACTAAGGGGTCGTTTATTAGCAAGGTGAAACGGTGCTGATTCTTCTCTAGAATGCAAGAATGGTTGCCAAACGAATTTAGACCGAGTGTTTCATTCCAGAATCTAGGAGAAATGATTCTCCTTTTTTTACATTAGGCACATGAAACAGCTCAGCCCTGGTTTCGACCGGTTCAGTGTGTGCGCTGGTGTATTTTTTTCGATTAATCTTTTTAAGTGGAACAACTTAAAATGAGTTTTATTTAAATTGTTCTCCACCTATAAAAAGTTTCAATTCTTTCAAGCATATTTCAATTTATATTATTTTTTATTTTAAAAACATTTTTTGTCGAATCAGGATCTAGCCGGACAGCCAGTTTCAATTCTTTCAAGCATATTTCAATTTATATTATTTTTTATTTTAAAACACTTTTTGTCGAATCAGAATCTAACCTAACAGCCAAATGATTTCATAAAGGAATTCTGATTCACCACCCGAAACATTTAGCCTTGTGCAACAAGAGGAAAGGGAAGGAGCTAATAGTAGATTCTTGCCGGTCACACTAACTTATATAGTGCTTCACTAACCATAGCTAGTTCTTTCTTTCTTCTTTGTCTTGTGGCCTTGTGCAACAAGAGGAAAGGGAAGGAGCTAGTAGATTCTTGCCGGTCACAACCCAGAATAGTTCTTCATTGTTCTTCATTGTTGGTTCAAAAATCCTTCACATGATTCACTAACGTATATAGTACTTCACCAACCATAGCTAGTTCTTTCTTTCTTCTTTGTCTTGTGGCCTTGTGCAACAAGAGGAAAGGGAAGGAGCTAGTAGATTCTTGCCCGTCACACCCCAGAATAGTTCTTCATTGTTGGTTCAAAAATCCTTCACATGATTCACCAACGGTTGGTGGTTGCGGCTAGCTGCTCATAAATCACAACCAGGCCGGGAAGCTTGGTGCATCAGAACAAGGAACTAGCTAGGACTTGATCTAGCTGGTAACTTAGCTTGGTGAGCGAGCAGGGGAAAACACTGGAGACAGTAATTCTGAAATTATGTTTTGCAATAGGGAATAGGACTAACAATGCTGTTGCGAAAAGGGCACAAGTACTGCCAAACATTTGATGACATAAATGATGATGATATATATATGGTCATTATATGTTCACCGAGATTGTCGCTAACTTCATCAACAGCATTTAGATATTACATATATACAAAACTTGGGCGACCTCCCTTACGGCGGTGCATGCTACCGTAATTAAGTCGTTGATTAGAAGCTTGCGTCTGCAGCCTCCCTCTCCTGGGCACAGGGGTGCAACCTCATCAGGTTCGCCCAGGAGCCGCCACCAGTGTCGCCCTCGCCCATGGGTGACCTCTTGCTCCCCTTTTCCTTGGCGTTAGCGTTCTTCCCCTCTCCCTCTCCTGCTGATGCACCCATGGCCGCCTTGGCCATCTTGTCGTCTCTCTCTCCAGCCTCCAGCTTGCACCGTTCTCGCTGCACGTGGATGTGCGCATAGCTGAACCCCATAGACGCCATGTCGATGCAATGTGCGGCCGGCCGGAGAGGCTCAGATGCTGCTGACTGAAGTGTTGTGGTTCTTGTGGATATAGGTGGGCACGCTGCTGCTTCCATTCGCCCATTTATAGGCGAGGGAACTGGGTTGATGATGTACTCCCTCTGTCCAGAATAAAAGTTGTTCTCGATTCCTGAGAAATTAGTTTTTTTTAACTTTAACCAATTATATATATAAAAATATTAATATTTATAATATATAATTAATATCATTAAATGGATCGCTGAATATACTTTCATAATAAATTTATTTAGAGATATAAATGTTGCACGTATTTTCTATAAATCTAGTCAAAGTTGAGAAAATTTGATCTGCACGCATCCCATAACGACCTTTTTTCTAGAACGGAGAGAGTATCTCAATTCTCAACCAGTGGCAGCAGACAGGTAGGGTAGGGCAAGAAAGAATATCCCCTTCCATCTCCCTCAATAGGAGTAATTCGGAACCTCCCGAGGGCAAAGCAAGCAATGATGCATTAAGATTTTGCTTCTTTAAATGGTACTTCAGTCTGTCTCTCTCTGGCTATTGCTCAAGTGGCACCTCCAAGCAGCCTTTTTTTTTCTATTATAAGTGGAGGAAGGTGAGGGAGCACCTCGTGGGGAAGCACCGATAGCACAGCATAGCACACAGGCCACAGGGTGGGCAGGGAACGGCCTCCACTGGGGTGGTGGGGGATGGTGGATAAAGCCGGCAGGCAGACGACTGATTCCACAATTATTTGAGGCACTCGGGGATACAATTATAGTCTGACCTGCCGCTACGAGCACTTACTGAGTGAGCAGTGATGCAAGGTCAACTTGAACAGCTCCTCAGTGCATTCCTCTTGCGCAAAGCTGAATGAACATAATGGTAGCGCGTTAATTTAGCATGGCACTTAGCTGGATCTGACTGGTTATGATGATGCACAAGATAGACGAGGTTTCGCACTATCGGGCAAATTGGTATACAAGATAGACAAGGTTTCGCACTATCGGGCAAATTGGTATACAGAGCCTAAGCACCTAATCAGATTTCCTGCTCACCATTTATTTTGTGAACAAACATCTGCAACTCTGCGAATTGAACACCATTGTTGTAATGAACTATCAAATCTTCAAAATAAACAATCTTATGGTAATAATCTCTTCAGTAATATCGTCGATGCTAGATATAAAAATTGGGCATATGCAATTACCAAACTTGATCAAGTTCGTCACTGAAAGGGAACAACATCACTGGACAGAAATTCAGAATGCTAAAGGAGCACACAGAGTGAAACTATGGATCCAAACTACCTTTTTCGGGGATCAGGCCTTTGACCACTCTAGTGCTTAGGCTTGATAAGGGTCTGGCAGAATGAACCTAAAGGATCCAAAGCATCCAGAAGCGGCGGAAGAGTGAACGGTGGGATGCCACCGCCCTCCTGATACTTGAAAGTTGGAGATTTCTCATCAAGTGTGAGTGCCATTGCTGCCTGCTGCTTGCTGAGACCGTCCATTATGCATGAGAATGCTGCAAAGGTGACACAGCTGTGGAACATTGCTTGGGGCGCACCTGGTTTAAAGAAACATTGCAATGTGTAAGAAAGTGGATGCATTATACCATTAGTACTTCCAGAAACATGTTTCCAAATTCATTTTCATGTGCATAAAATGTAATATCCTCAACATGTGAAAATAAGACTGGGAAATAGTCACTTGTTAGTTTGCAAGGAGCCAAGGATGGCTATGTTTGTCACAGCTATTATACTACAAGAGTAAAAGCAACTGCAAAAAGGATTAACTTAGTTTACTATTCTAGTACCAACCCAAGAAGATAATGTCTCTGGATCCTATCTGATAAAAAATCTAAAAAAACTATCATCGCTATGCTACAGAAAGTAATTGCATTATGCTGATGAAACTGAAAAGTATAAGACACTAGCTAAGCTAATAATGTGAAAAATTGCTAATGCTCTGCACTCCTTTTGTGCGTTTTCTTTTTTTTTCTGTATATCCATATCTTGACTGGACTGCTGGGTGTCCAACACTTCAAGGACAACCGAGTTTTATCTTTCTATGTTCATGTTAGCATACTCAATATCAGGCTTTCCTCAAACTGCTCAAGGACAACCCCTATCTCAGTTTGTTTATTATAGTTGAAAATGCAGAGCTTCAGTTGGAAGTGATGCAAATGATACTACTCACTAGTCTGTCCAATCTTAATTTGCAACAAAAAAATGAAATAATCATGAGACCTGAAGATGCCAAATTCCAGAGTGAGAAAAACAGTATATGGTATGCCTTTCTTTATAGAACTGAAAAGAGTGCTGCAAACAGAATTACAAAGCCCAAACGTCTTTGTATATTAAAACAATTTAACTGGTACTGGGTGTTAGAATTAATTGCTCATTTACTGTAATAGCTATCTATGCAGGCGCCAGCTATACTGGCCCTTTCACACTGCTGGCCCCTTGGGCCATCCCCTCTCTCTCCTATATAAGTGTAATCCCTTCTGTAATCTATTATCAAGGAATATACAAAGCTTAATGGCCTTTATCTAATATGGTATCAGTCTAATCGTATCCCCTGCTTCCGTTACTCTCTGCCGCCACCTAGCCCCGACCCGCGCGCGCCTCTCCGCCGCCGGCGCTCTCGCTCTTGTGCCCGCCCGCTGTAACTTGGCTCCTCCTCCTCCCGCCGCCACAGACGCCGCCGGTTCCTGTACCCATGGCTACTCTTTCCTCCGGCGGCGATTCCGGCTCCGGCGCCTCGGCTGCCGCCGCCGCGACCAAGCTCCGCGACGAGGCGCTCGCCGCCGCCAAGGCTCTGGAAGTTGAGGCCGCCTCCCTGCGCGACTCCAACCAGGCGCGTAGCGCCCAACTCAAGGAGGAGGCGGACCTCCTCAAGTCCGCCGCCGCCGCCCAGGAGCGGGTCCGCGCTGCTGCCGCCGCTCTCAACTTGGAGCGCGAGCAGGCCGCGGCCCTCCGCGCGACTTCACCCCGAGCACCACCGCGACGACGACTCGGAGGGCGACGCCGACTCCATCGCCACGGAGACTGCGGCTGTCGCCCATCTTCATAGCCAGGCAGCCGCTGTGCAGAACATCAAGAACCTCATCCCTATTGTTCTTGATCTGCAAGCCTCAAACTACTCCAAATGGCGTGGTTACATCCTGCTCATCCTCGGCCGGTTTGCCCTGAAGGACCACGTCCTCAGCGACGCCATCCACCTCCACGATGCGGCATGGTCCCGCATGGACTGTGTTGTCGTCTCATGGATCTTCAACACCATCGCCCCTGACCTCCTCGACGTCGTCCACGAGCGTGACGGCATCACTGCTCGGGCGGCGTGGCTCGGCCTCGAGCAGCAATTCTTCAACAACCGTGAAACACGCGCCATGCTCCTCGACGCCGAGTTCCGCACTCTCTGCCAGGGTACTCTATCTGTGGATGAATACTGTCGCAAGATGAAGCACATGGCGGACGCGCTTGCCGACCTTGGCAAACCCGTCCTGGACCGGACCCTGGTGTTGAATGTGCTGCGCAGCCTCAACGAACGCTTCCAGTTCATGTCGCAGCTCGTCACGAGGCAGAAGCCCTTCCCATCCTTCGCCGACGTCCGTGCTGACCTGAGGCTGGCCGAACTCAACATGGCGTCACCTTCAGCTCCGCCCTCGGCCCTCGTCACCGCGCCGTCCAGCAAGCCGCCTGCTCCGTCCCCTGCTCCTCAGCGCCCTCCACAGCCTGCTGGGGGACAGCAGCTCGGCCACACCCCTTCTCCTTCACGCCATCCTCAGGCTGCTGGGGGCCAGCAGTCCGGCAACGGCAATAACCGCGGACGACGTCGCCGCGGTGGACGCGGCCAAGCCGGCGCCCAAGCCGGCACTCAAGCCGGCCCACCGAATGGCCAACAGTGGCCATCCTTCTTCAACCCATGGACCGGGTCCATCCAGATGTGGCCCGGGTCCAACCCAGGCGGCTCTCGCGGTCCACCGCCACAGCAAGCTCTCATGGCCGGGGTGCCACCGGGTTACTTCGCTCCTCCGCCGGTTCCCGGGGCATACTACCAGGCGCCCACCTCGCCGTCGCCCTGGACTACTGAGGGCCTCGCCAACGCTTTCAGCACCGTCACCCTCACTCCGCCGTCAAGCACCTCGGATTGGGTCTTCGACTCGGGTGCTTCCTCTCACATAGCCGGCACTCCTGGTATGGTCACCATGTCACCAACCTCCTCCTTTCCTTCTTCAATTGTTGTGGGAAATGGCGCCACTCTTCCGGTTATTGGCACCGGCTACTCAACCCTCCCTGGCCCATTTCGCCTCAACAATGTTCTCATTGCCCCTGACATTATTAGAAATCTCTTGTCAATTCGGAAATTCACCACTGATAATCTTGTTTCTGTCGAGTTTGACCCTCTTGGTGTTTCTGTGAAGGATCTTCGTACCAGGAACCTCCTCCTTCGCTGTGACAGCTCGGGACCCCTCTACACCTTGCAGCTCCCGACATCACCATCCGGTTCCTGCGCTCTCGTGGCCACTCCCTCCTTCACTACTTGGCATTATCGGCTCGGTCATCCCGGGAAGGCTACTCTTCAGACTCTTGCCAAGTCGTCCTCCATCATCTGCAGCAAGCCCGTCGATGACACTCTCTGCCATGCTTGCCAGCTTGGGCGTCATGTCCGCTTGCCTTTTAACCATTCCTTGTCTCGTGCAACTAAAAATTTCGACTTCATACATTGTGATTTGTGGACTTCCCCAATCGTCAGTGTATCCGGTTTCAAATATTATCTAGTCATTATTGATGATTGCTCACATTTTGTTTGGACTTTCCCTCTTAAGCTAAAGTCTGACACCTTTAATGCTCTCTCCAATTTTTTCGCCTATGTGCTCACTCAGTTTGGTTGCACCATCAAGACTGTGCAGTGTGACAACGGGTGTGAGTTTGACAACTCCGCGTCTCGCGCTTTCTTTTCTGCCAAAGGTGTCACCCTTCGCATGTCATGCCCCTACACCTCGCAGCAAAATGGCAAAGCCGAACGCATGCTTCGCACCGTCAACAACGTCACCCGCACCTTGCTCTTCCAAGCATCCATGCCCCCCACTTACTGGGCTGATGCCCTTGCCACCGCCACTCTCCTCATCAATCGCCTCCCAACCAAGACCCTGAACATGAGCACTCCCTTCTTTGCCCTCCATGGCACTCTCCCCTCCTACCATGACCTTCGAGCTTTCGGGTGCACCTGCTACCCCAACCTCACCGCCACCACTCCTCACAAGCTCGCTCCACGATCTTCCTTGTGCGTCTTTCTTGGCTATTCTCCTGACCACAAGGGGTATAGGTGCCTTGACCTCGTCACAAACCGCGTCATCATCTCACGCCACGTTGCCTTCGATGAGACAACGTTCCCTTTCTCCCTCCGTCGACCTTCGCCACCCACACACGAGCTTGACTTTCTAACTAACGGCGATTCGTCGTCAGTTTTACTTCCACCTGCAGGTACACCGTGGGCTGTTGGCCCTCTGCCAGCCCCTGTGCCCTCCCAGCCGGTGCCCACCTTGGGCGCACCGGCCCTCCGGCAGCCTCCGCCGGGCTTCATACCCCGGCCGCCGGGCTCCTCTCCAGCTCGACCTGTACAGGCGCCCATGGCGCCCTCGGGACAGGCGCCCACTTCGCCGACGCCCATGGCGCCCTCGGGACAGACGCCCACTTCGTCGGCGCCCATGACACCCTCTGCAGAGGCGCCCCCGGCGCCCTCGGTGCCTTCTGCTCCGGTGCCACAGGCACCCGTGGTGGCACCCCCTGTACAACTACCTCCGGCGTCCTCCTTCAACAAACCACCGGTCATTCATGTCTACACCCGGCGTCCACTCCGCTTTCACTCGCCACTGCCCCCTGTTGGACCACCTCCCTCGACGCCCAACATGATTCCTTCACCGCCAAGGCCGTCAAGAGTGACCCTCCTCTTCCAACAGAGAGCTGTCCCCCATACCGCCGATCGCCAACACTCATGGCATGGCGACCATGGAAGTCCGATTCGACACCAGCGCCTCATGGCGCAGACATCGAGGCTCTCATCACCTCTACCATGCTCCTGTCGTGATGCCCTCGCCGACCCACACTGGCGTCGGGCCATGGAAGAGGAGTATGCTGCCCTACAGGACAACAACACTTGGGATCTCGTTCCCGTCCCCGCCAAGGCAAATGTGGTCACAAGCAAATGGATCTTCAAGCATAAGTTTCATGCCGATGGTTCCTCGAGCGAGATACAAGGCTCATTTGGGTGCTTCGCAGGTTCACCCAACGCCCCGGCGTTGATTACGACGAGACATTCAGCCCTGTCGTCAAGCTCCGCTACCGTCCGGATTGTCTCCTCACCTTGGCTCACTCCGGATTGGCCAATTCATCAACTTGATGTGAAAACGTCTTCCTCCATGGGACCACCTCGAGAAGCAGCATCTCTGCTCACAACCCATCGGGTTTTCTTGATCCCGCACTTCCGGTCATGTATGCAAGCTCAACAGATCCCTCTATGGACTAAAGCAGGCTCCACGGGCATGGTACAGCCGATTTGCCTCCTTCCTACTTTCTTTGGGTTTCAGTGAAGCAAAGTCAGATACATCCCTCTTCATACTTCGCCGTGTACACCGAGGCAGTCTACTTGCTTTCTATGTCGATGACATCGCCCCTCTCGCTTCCTCCGAGCAGCTCATCGCATCGCTTTGATTGCAGCCCTCAAGAACGAAGTTTGCTATGAAGGACCTTGGCCCCTTCACCATTTCCTCGGTATGGCGATTCGGCGCCACAAGGATCACCTCACTCATCCACGGCGTCAAGACATCCTGGACATTCTTGCTTTCGCCATGGGATGAGCAAGCGCAAGCCTTGCTCCACTCCTCTGTTACACTGCGCCAAAGTTCCCTGCAGATGCCGGCCCTCCCTTGTCTTTGATCCCACGCTTACCGCATGACCTTGCAGTGCACTCCGATTGCGACATTTACTCGACCCGACATTGCGTATCTTTGTCCAAAAATCTGCCTTCACATGCATGATCCCGAGAAGTTCACCTTGTGGCGCTAAGCGGATCCGCCGGTACCTTGAGGCACCCTCGGCTTGATCGATTATTCCTCGGTCTACTCCAACGCAACTTGTTGTGTATATCGATCGGATTGGGCATGCCCCCGACACCGACGCTCCACCTCTGGCTATCTTTGTATTCCTCGGGGCGATCTCATCTCTGGTCCTCAGCGGCGTTCTGTCTCTCGGTCGGAAAGCGCCGAGGCCGAGTATCGGTTGTTGCTAACGGCGTTGTCGAAGCATCCTAGCTGCAAAGCAACTTCTACAGAGCTGCACCACCCTTTCTGCATCGCCTCCTCGTCATCTCTGCGACAACGTCGGCGCCATCTACCTCTCCTCCAACCCCATTCAAAGCATCAGCGCACCAAGCACGTGGAAATCGACCTCCATTTCATCCGAGAACGCGTTGCTATTGGTGCTGTTCGTGTGCTTCACGTTCCCACCACCTCACAGTTCGCAGATGTCTTCACCAAAGGGCTTCCGTCTTCTGTGTTCATGGACTTTCGCTCCAATCTGAACGTTCGCTCCACCGCCGTTCCGACTGCGGGGGGGTGTTAGAATTAATTGCTCATTTACTGTAATCTCCTAGCTATCTATGCAGGCCCCTTGGGCCATCCCCTCTCTCTCCTATATAAGTGTAATCCCTTATGTAATCTATTATCAAGGAATATACAAAGCCTAATGGCCTTTGTCTAATACTGGGCACTACCACACTGCAAAAGCATGGCATTGATGAATAGACCATAAAGTCAGAAGAGTATTGATCACTCTGTGGTCAGGAAGATGAAAATGTGCAACATTTGTTCACGTTATGTGTTTTCTCAAGAGAAGTCTGGTATTCAGTTTTGTCCTTGGTCCGAATGCAGCAGCACACACCAGAGCCAGATTTTCTAAGTTTTATTGAGTGGTGCTGCTTTGCAATACAGCAAATCGAAAAGCATCACCGCAAAGGATTCAATTCCTTAGTGGTGATGGTAGCATGGTGGATCTGGAGACATAGGAATGCTTGTGTCTTTGAAGGGATAGGGACCTCACCTAATGTCAATGATCTCATGCAAGAAATTTGGGATGAGGCAAAATTGCGGTGTATCGCTGGCTCGCTGCGGCTAAAAGTCTTAGACGTATTTGGCCGGCTAGTCACTCATGTAAAATCATGCCCTAATGGGCTTGTATGAGTCTTCTTAGATTCCTATTTTCTTCTTAATATAATGATGCAGCTCGCCTGTGTGTTCAAGGAAAAAAAGAAGAGTATTGATGAAAACTATAAAACAAAGATCATTTGTCAGAACATACTGCCATTAAAGCACTATAGATGCTAAAATCAACAAGGGCATCTTGAAAAGTTTACGTCGAATAGCATACAAACGAGTTCCATGTACCGTTCACCTAAACGGCTGTTTAGTCCGTTTAAACGGTAAATGAAGGCCAACCATGTCGTTTAGACCCTAAACAGCGAATTAAATGGTTGGACCATTTAAACCGTCTAAACAGTCTAAACAGAATCAAGTTAAACAGCCATTGATTTGCCATTTACTCACTAGGAGGATTATTACTACCACATTTGGCACCCAACTAATTAACATCGTAAGTATATGAGGTGGAGTGGGATTTAGTTTTCTTCAAAAAAAATCATTTGGTAGAATACTTATATTTTACATGTGTAAATATGTATAATTTCTACCATATTTAGCTTTTACATACATAATTATGTACAATTTAATTTTACTATACATTTAGGCCGTTTAACTCTGTTTAAACACCGTCTAAATGGACTGATCGCTAAATGAAGGGTGACTGCCTGTTTACCATGTAATGTTTAGGATAACACTGGTTCCATGCCAAAGGTTAGCGCCTACTCCATGTTCTCAATTCCTAAATTCAAAAAATACTAAATGGGTACATATGGTCCTGCAATTGACCATAATTTTGTATTGTCCATTGGAGTGTCACTGATTTTAGAGTATGCTCCGGAAACAGCCACACCTTGCTGGTGTCCTAGAGAATAATTTCAATTTTGATTATGTTAACACTGACAAATTATATAAACAAGTCCCTCTCCAAAACTTGAGACAAATAGAAGAGAACATGAATATCTCTGTTGTTCACTGAGCAACACCCTCTGCCAGAGTCATTTCCAGGTGACCAATTGAAAGGTTAACGAACAAAATTCTATTATTTTGGTCTAGTCATTTCTTTTATATTTTTCTCTTGCAATGCACTATTTGGAAGAAAAGGTCCTAGTGAACATGGTATGGGCATGACATTCATGCCCCCATGTTCCTATTCATGTATGGAAAAGGAAGTGGATTAGAATGCACATCATAATAATTATAGACATCATTTGCTCAAAAATTGGTAGCAAAGGCATGGTGACTTTGCAAGCAAGAATTACACTCTACATGAACAAATCATCAACTCCAATTTTACCGCAGCAGCTACAGAAAACTCATAAAATATTACTTTAAATGATAAAGGTTTTCTAGACAGTCCAAATCAATAACAAATTAACATCATCATAAATCCTATTAGTCTGAAATGAAATTCATCATTGTATATTTTAACATTTAATGCTTTGTTAGGCGACGTCGCCATACCTCCTCACTGGCGCAGCTGCAGCCTGGAACGCTGGGTGGCGGCGAGCATTGGGGCCCGGTGCATACACGCCTAGGACCCCGTGCAGCAGGTGGACCACATACGACGCTGGAGGCCGGGTCCATGCTGCCAGGGATTGGCGCGGTTGCCCAAGGGTCGCTACTGCTGGGGGACGTTTCGATTGACGGGGCGAACATTGATATCGTGGTGGTGGACAATGTTCTCCAGGCGGCTGCCATTTCCCCCAGCTTCCGGAACCGTCAGCTTGTTTGCCCGGCGTCCGATGTGGCCGCCCCTGCATCTGGGCTGGAAGCGTTACTCTGCGGCACAAGTACCCATGATGTTCACCCTGATAGTTGTGCTCGTTCGTTGGGAGAGTCGCCTGTTTGTGTTGAAGACAGCCCTATGCGAGCTGATGGGCCTATCTTTGGGCCGTTTTCTCCAGACCATCTCCCCAGCCTACCGTTGGAACAGGCTACTTCTGGAGCTCTCCTGGTTGCTGGGTTTGACGGTGCGATTGTGGTTTCTGGGCAGACTGTAGCCAAAGATGACGGGTGCAGTGCAGCAATTCAGTCTGTTCTTTCTGATGCTCCCGTGGCTGCTGCCACTGACTGTAATCGTTGCGCTATCTGACTCATACTCGGCCGAACATCAGTCGGGTATGTCAGTCGGTTCATGGAGGATCCCCGCGAGGATCATTGGAATGCGGTGAAGCGGGTGCTGCGCTACGTCAGGGGGACGGTGGATCAAGGGATCGTCATCCCAAGTCCGGTGGCGGAGGTGGGCTGCAGCTCACAGTCTTCAGCAAAGCACTTCCCAAGACCGACGACGAAGGTGGGCTGCGGCTCACAATCTTCCGCGATGCAGACATGGCGGGCGACATTGATGGGCGGCCGAGCACCTCTGGTGTGCTCGTCTTCCTCGGATCGGCTCCGATTGCATGGCAGTCGCTAAAGCAGAAGATCGCGACGCTGTCAACATGTTAGGCGGAGTATGTTGCAGTAGCCACGGCGGCGTGCCAAGCGGTTTGGTTGCGCCGGCTGCTGGGCGAGCTGACCGGCGAGAAAGCTCGTCAACCAGCTCTGATGGTGGACAATTAGCCCGCCATCGCCCTCGCCAAGAACCCTGTCATCAAGTTCCATTTTCTTCAGGACTGCATCGAAGGACATATCGTCATCGAGTTCGTCGAGACCGGCCGACAGCTCGCTGACATCCTCACCAAGTCACTCGGATGACTTCGGTTCTCGGAGCTGAAGAAGAAGATTGGCATGGCTGAGGTCAAGGCATCAGGTTAGCAACAGGATTAGGGGAAGAATTATAAGACATAATCTGCTGCTGTCTAGAAAAGTCTGCAAGCAACTGCAGACAAAGTTCCTTGCTACTGCAGTGCAATTTCCTTGCAGCTACTGGGCAATTTCCTAGCAAGTTCCTAGCAAGGCTTAGCAGCCAAGTAGGACTGTACAGTAGACTAGACTTGACTGCTACAGCAGTCAACCTTCTCTTAGGTAATTTCTAGGAAAGCCACTAGGGCTGTTTTCTGTAGTCTCTATCAGCTATAAATAGAAGGTAAAGGGACCAGTTCAGCTGCATCACACATTTAAAATTCAGAGCTGCTAGTGCTGTGTGTGTGTGTGGGTGTGTGTGTGATGTGCTCTCTCTTCTTCTACCTCTAGCCAAAGGTGTTGTGTGGGTGCTGGTGAGCTCGATGCTCACCTGTGGGGAAAGATCGAGGGCCAATACTTTGCATATCCTTCGATTTCAAAATGTGCATATGATGATTAAAATCTAACAAGGCCACCCTGTTTGGCAAGTTCATACCTAGAGTTCCCAACACATCAAGGAACTCACAATGAAACAAAATGTAGCCATTAGCAAACATTTAGCGTTCAGAAGATTTCAATATAGAAGCTCCGCAATAATTTTACTCAACATGACAGGCTCAAAACAGAATTAGTAATCTTCTAATTGATTCAAAACTGTTTGTAGAAATTTGCATGTTTGTTTGGTTACAGCAGTGTTTTCAGATCGGACGACTAATCGCGATTAATCATGATTAGTCGTCCTTATCGTAACTAGGTGCTCGATAAGGGCCCTAGATTAGTTTAGACCGATTAGAAACCTTATCGTCCGATAAGTTGCGACTAATCATGATTAGTCGTCCGATCAGACTAGCTGGACGACTAGTTGGGTAGGGAGAATTCGGCCCAACTAAAGAATTCGGCCCACCTTTAGCTGGCCCATTAGGGTAAGAAGAAGAGTGACTGACCTAGTGAAGGAACTGCAGCCGCCGCACATTTCCAGCTCCCGCTCTGGCTCTGCTCTCTCTCGCAGCCGCCGGCACCTCCGCCCGCGTCTCCTCCGCCTGCGGCCTAACTCTCTGGATCTCCCTCGCCGGCATCCGCAGCTCCATCCGCGCCCCTCGCCGGCGTCCGCTGCTCCGCCCGCGCCTCCACCTCCGCCCGCTCCTGTCTCCTCCCCTGCCGGGACCCAGTAGCTCCGCCCACCTCTGAGGCTCTGTTGCTCTGAGCTCCTTCCTCGACGCCTGGAGGACGGACGCAGGAGGCCTCAAGCATCAAGATGAGCCACCACTCTGCCTCCTCTGAAGGTTATTGTCTATGTCTGCTACTCTGCTGCTGTGTATTGCCTGTTGCCACCAATTTGTGACACATTTGTGTGGCTGTGCCGCTCTGCAAAGGATGCTCGACGGCGTGCAGTTGTTGAGGTAATTCTACCTGAGAATGAAGCTGTCTCAGGAGGGGCTGCCTCAGCGTCGTCAGCTGCTCCAACTGAAGCATCTCTGATAGCTCAAGCGATAGCTAAATTGCCGCCAGATCTTGCTGTCATGGCTGAAGATAAGAAGAGGAAGGCAAAATCATCAGATCCTGGATGGAAATATGGGTTTTGGCCAGACATAGGGAAGAAAGAGTTCATCCAATGTATTTTCTGCAAAAAGGTTGCCCCTGCAGGCATTAAAAGGTTCAAGCAACACCTTGCTGGGGGATATTCTGATGCAGTGAAATGTGGTGAAGCACCTGAACTAGTTAGGCGTGAGATGAATGGTTACTTGGTCACAAGGTCAAGGACTCAGGTTCAGGTACCTACGGACACTGGGGTGGAGACAGAAACAGAAGAAGAAACAGATCAAGGTGGAGGTGGTGCTTCTGCTGCTGCTGAAAATGAACCAAATGCTGGGACAAAGTCAAAGCAAGTTCCAAGTTCTGGGACAAAATCAAAGCAAGCGAAAAAGATAGCTCAAGCATCAATCACGAACTTTGTGGTTTCTGCTCCACCAAAACCTCAAACACAGAAGCATTCCAAGTCAGTGAGTTCTTTGCTTTGCAGGAGTCCAGAAGAAGTGGTTGCAGAAAGGCACTAGTCCAAGATGTCACAGCCCACTCTTGAGTACTCCACAAAGAGCAAGGAAGCAAAGCAAATTGTAGAAGACCATGTGGCTGATTTTTTTTATGAGAATGGAATACCATTGAATGCTATTAACTCAAGAAGCTGGGAGATTATGCTTGAGTCCATTGGGCAATATGGTCCTGGGTATCGCTCACCTTCATACCATGAGATTAGGAATCCACTACTTGATAGGGCAGTGAACAAGACAGAGGAGCTGAGAAAGAAGCATGAGGACGCTTGGAAGGAATATGGCTACACAATCATGTCAGATGGATGGACTGACACTAGCCACCGTCATCTCATCAACTTTCTTGCGAATAGCCCAGCTGGAACATTCTTCTTAGGTTCAGTTGACGCTTCAAGTGAGATAACCAATGCTTCTATGTTAGCAGACTTGTTAGAGAAACAAATTGACAAGGTTGGGAAGGAGTATGTGGTGCAAATTGTCACAGATAATGGATCAAACTACAAGGCTGCTGGAAGAATTCTTATGGAGAGGATCCCAACTTTGTTTTGGACACCATGTGCTGACCACTGTTTGGATTTGATGATGGAGGACATTGGGAAGATACCTGAGTTTAGCTCTTGCATTAATTCGGCTAAGAAGGTGTGTAGGTTTCTCTACAAGCATGGGAGGATTCTGGATCTTATGCGAGAGAAGATTGGTGGTGATCTTGTGAGGCCTGCCGTTACTCGCTTTGCTACTTCGTATCTCACATTAGCAAGCATGCATAAGAACAAACAGGGGCTGAGGAGTTTGTTTGTGAGTGAGGAGTGGCATTCCAACAGCTTGTCAAAAAGTGCTGAAGGGCGGCAGGCTAATAACACAATCCTTTCCATACCATTTTGGACAAAAGTGGAGTACTGTATAAAAGCAACACAACCCCTCCTCATTGCTATGAGGATAGCAGATGGTGATGAAACACCAGCAGCTCCTGAGATAATGGCAGCAATGGATGCTGCAAAGAAGACCATCAAGGAAACTTTGCGAGACAAATCATCATTACTGAATGATGTAATGGAATGCTATGACAAGAGATGGGAGAACCAGATGGAGCAAAAACTATATGGAGCAGCCCTCTTCTTGAATCCTGGAAAGTACTTTGCCATAAAGGAAAAGGATAGGAGACAAGCTACAAAGCTAAGGTGCATGTTTAATGACATTATATGGAAGATGGTGCCTGATGAGAGTGAAGCGAGGAAAATAAGCAAGCAAGCTGATGATTATGACAGGACTGAGGGTGAATGTTTCTCAAAGAGATTAGCAATAGTAGAGAGAAATAGCAAAAATCCTAGTAAGTAATGAGCAGTTCAGCAGTCAGCACTCTTTTAATTAAGCTATAATTCTCTATGTGATGAGCTACTGATTATATTATTGTTTTGCTTGTAATCTACAACTACAGTTCTATGGTGGGATGCTTTTGGTGGCCTTGCATTCGAGCTACAGAGTTTAGCAAAACGAATTGTAAGCCTCTGCTGTTCGGCGTCTGGTTGTGAAAGCAACTGGAGCGCTTTTGCTCATGTAAGTGCAATTTCTATGGCCGCAGGTGCATACTAATGCATTCTTATATGCTGCAGCCATCTAATGAATTTGCTCCTATTTTCTATGGCTGCAGGTGCATACTAAAAAGAGGAACCGTTTGGAGCACATTAGGTTGAATAAGTTGGTATTTGTTAGCTACAACCGTAAGATGACATTCAGGTTTCAGAAAATTCGTGAGCTCGGTTCTAAAGGCAAGAAATCCAACCCATTGCTGCTAGAAGAGTTTCAATGGGAAAATGAGTGGGTAGACATCAACTGTGACCCAGTTCATGCATCTAATGGCAGTGATATGCTTTGGACGCATGTGGATGAAGCTGTTGGTGCAACCGACCAGCTTAGAGGCCGCAATATGCTTAGGGCTGCTGCTGCTCGTGCGAGGAATACTGTCACCCGCACATATGGGAGGAATAACAAAAGGAAGTGTCCAAGTCCAAGGTCAGATGTACCAGCAACTGAAAGCAGTGATCATGAAGAAGAGGAAAACAGAGTTGCACCAGAACAGCCACAAGGTGCAAGTGCAACAGATGAAGAAATGGAGGACCAGGGAGGGGAGGAAGACTCAGGCGGACCTGCAACAAATGATGGAAATGAAGACTTCCATGTGGACGCAGATTTACTTCTCTAGATGGCTGAATTGCTGGTTCTATGGATCAGTGGACTAGATGTTTAGAACTATTTCCATTTTAGACTTAAGAACTTGTTTAAGTTTATTAGTTTACTTATGTTGTGTACTGCTGTGCACTGTGTGCACTGTGCTAAACTGCTGTTAGTTCTTATTTGTTAAATTTGTGTACTTGGTTAAGTTGTTTTGCCATGCTCTACTGTATACTACTATTTACATTTTCTTTAGTCTTTACAGTTTTGTTTTCTGCTATTTTGCATATTTAACTGATTATCTTCTTTCTTTGTAATTTCAGATTCAGCCACAAGTCAGCAGTCAGCACTCACCATCAGGCATAAGCAAGCAGCAGTTACAGGTAAGTGGCCAAATCACCATGATAATGATTCATTGCAAACATGATTACATGCCAAACTGTGCTTGGTTGCTTGCCTCTAACATTTACCTATTTATTATAGCCATGTTTACATATATTTACATCATACATATAGTATATACATGGTCGATCAGGCCATCTAGGCACAAGGACGACTAAATGTCCGACAAGCCGATTAGACCGATTAGGACCGACTAATCAACCCTTATCGACGACTAATCACGATTAGTCGTCTGATCGGTGGTCATACAACTAGCCTCGATGATACGATCTAAAAACATTGACAATGCAAGCTTCAAAGTTCAAACCAACAGAAAATAATTCCCAAAAAATGTCACTAAAATATTGCTCTTCTAGAAAGCAAGATGGGAAGAGAAGTGACTATAGCAATAATATCTCAAAAGATTACTCAAACACAACTCCAACAGTACACTACAATAAAGGGATTAAGCAAATATCATCCGGCTCAGCTATATGCATATAGCATCCAGTATTGATTGCACTGTATGTTGTTAAAACTGTAAGAACAACAACATAATTTGTTGAAGATAAAATTCTAAACAATAGTATTGATAATTGCACATAGTTGTACCTGGAAAGCTCAAAGCAAGGCCTGTGCAACAACCAGCCATACCCGCATTGATCGCTGCAAAAGGCATTTCATTGATATTCATACTTGCATCTTCATGTGCTAACAAAGTAATAGAACTACAGCAAAGTGCTTACTGTCATCTTTCCCACGCAGTCTTCTTAACAAGCACATGATGAAACTTTGGACACCAGCAAGAGCAGCAAAAGTCTAATAACGAATAAAGAGGTCATATGAGCAATCTTTCGTATGAAAAGATGCTCAATATATCAAAAGTAAACATTATGATCAATTAACCTTGGCAGAAGATCCAGCAATGCTGAGAGAAGCTTTCGTACCTTGGTTTGTGATCAAACCTTTTCCTGTAACAGAAAAAATAAAAAAAAAGGAAATAAGTAAAATTTAGAGAATAAAATCAAATGTTAAAGAACACTCTGAGATAATCCCCCTTATTGCAATTTGCAGAATACATCATTTGATTGCTACAGTAAGCTAGTTTCTCTCTACCTCAGACACTAATAGACATGGAAACATTTCTCATTAAATTGTGGAAGATTCAACACAGTTGAACTAAAGGTAAAACATAGGCATGACAAGAGGGTTAGGTGACGCTATCCTATCAGTTTGTTTGGACAGTTGCCGGTGGTGTGAGCCCTAAGAATTTGTCCAAGCATCACATTGCCTCCCACACTCTCTTTGTATGTAGGTCATGACATTTCAGTATTTTATTTCTTTTGATTTGATGGTATACTCAGAAAAGGTGGTTATGTTTATCCATACTTTCTATCCTCAGGTAAGCAGTTGGCTATTCGTGGTATACGACTAAGGACTCCATTTCAATTGATCCCTACAGAGGATGGAGAGCTCCAGAATGGATCTGGAAGCAAGGTGAACTGACAATGGCAAAGCTCTGTTCCAACAAAGCTGCCTCTTGTAGTGAAAATGTGCATCTTCCATCTTGTGACACTAACTTTTGTTAGTCGTTGAATTCTCACTCTTGGTAGTAGCAGAATTCTTACTCTCATCGAGAGAGGATGACACTAGGAGTTGAGGCAATTTTCTTATCTATTTCTCACACAAATGCCATACCAACCTGAGGAATTGGGGTTACATATTTATAGGCTGCTAGCCAGACAAGCATATGCCAAGATGCTAGTCTAAGATGCCAAGATGCTAGTCTAGCTAAGATGTTGTCCTCTAGTCTAAGATGCTGTCCTCTAAGATGCTGTCCTCTAGTCTAAGATGTTGTCCTACAAACAGAAAAACAGCCACAAGGACCATGTGAGCATCACAGCCCCACAAAGACCAGCCACACATGAGACTTATCCATCATTCTCCCCCTAAGTCTTGTGCGTCGTCTTGTGGGAGAGTATGGGAGAGTTGAACCATCCTGGTCCTGGAGCAGAGCTCAAGGAACTTGATCCTCCCAAGGGGCTTGGTGAGTAGGTCCGCAAGCTGGTCCTTGGTGTTGATGTAGCTCGCATTGATACTCCCTTCCTCCAAACAGCCTCGGATGAAGTGGTACATCACCCGGATGTGCTTGCTGCGTTCGTGGAACACGGGGTTCTTTGCCAGAGCCAGAGCGGACTTGCTGTCCACCCTGAGCTCCACCGCTCTAGTGTCTCTGCCGAGGAGATCACCAAGCAGTCGAGCGAGCCAGAGCGCCTGAGTCGAAGCGGTGGAGGCCGCTATGTACTCGGCCTAGCATTTGGACAGGCCACCACCTGGCCGCTTGACCGATCGCCGCCGCCTAACGAGGCACTTGCCGAGAAAGAAGAGGATCCCGCCGTGCTTTTCTTTGGTGTCGATGTCGCCGGCGCGGGTGGTCGTTGCCGCATTCGACGGCGAAGTGCCGCCCTGTGGCACCTCGGTAGTAGAGGCCGTGGTCGAGAGTCCCGCAACGTAGCGGATGATCCTCTTCACGACTTCTTTGGTGCTCTATCGTCGGTCATTGCATGAACCGACTAACGAGCCGACGGAGAATGCCAAGTCCGCCGTGTGTGAACGAGGTAGCGAAGGCTCCCCACAAGACGCCGCAGATGCTGCGAAGCGTCCACCTCCTCCGTCGTCTTTGTCGTGGCTCACTTTCCTCTCCTCCATCGGAGCGAGAGGCGGGTTGCGATCGGTGAGCCCAGCTTAGCTCAACGACGCGCTTGGCGTGGGTGGTGGTCCGTCAAGCATGATCCCGAGTCATCTGGTGCACCTCGATTCCTGTGTAGAAGGAGAGAGGCCCCAGATCACTCATCCGGAAGGTGGCCTTCATCTCTTCCTTGAATGCCGCCACCTCCGCATCCTTGGTGCCGGTGATCACCAAGTCGTCGACGTAGACACCCACCAGCAGGGCATTTCCTCCATTGCCCCGTCGGTAGATGGCCGCCTCGTGCGGGCTTTGCTCGAAGCCCATCCCCTTTAGCGTAGAATCCAACTTGGCATTCCACGCCCTCGGTGCCTGCCGCAAGCCATAGAGGGCCTTGCGTAGGCGGAGTACCTTGCCCTCCTTGCCGGGGATCGCAAATCCCGGCGGCTGGTGCACGTAGACCTCCTCCTTCAAGTCGCCGTTAAGGAATACCGACTTGACGTCCATGTGATGAACACGCCAGCCCTCCAGGGCAGCTAGCGCAAGGAGGAGTCACACGGACTCCATCCGTGCCACGGGAGCAAAGGCGTCATCGAAGTCGACCCCCTCCTGCTGCACGAAACCTCGTGCCACCAAGCGAGCCTTGTGCTTGACGATGGCGCCGGCTTCATCCCTCTTCAGCTTATACACCCACTTAAGGGTGATCGCGCGGTGACCACGAGGAAGGTCAGCAAGCTCCCAGGTGCGGTTCTTCTCAACCGCATCCATCTCCAACTACATCGCGACGCACCATGCCGTGTGTCTCTCGGCCTCTGCATACGATCGAGGCTCGTCGTCGTCACACGCAAGGTGCAACTGCGTCTCCAGGTCGTGAGGCACCGGTCCCGGCACCGGCTAGTCGCCGAGAAGGTTCTCCATCGTAAGGTACCGCAATGGCTCGCTGTCGTGGTACGCGTCAATGCGCTCCTCGTCGTGAGAGAGCGGAGTAGCGAGCTCAACCGGGTTGTGCTCGACACGAGCTGGAGTAGACGTGCCCGGAGAGGTGCCTGTCGATGTTGGAGTGCGTGGCGTTGCCGGCTGTGGAGCCGGCGAAGAACTCATCGCGCACCGAGGTCTGGTCAAGAGCATGGTGTCTTTGTCGGAGTAGCAGCGCCGGGGCGGTGGAGGCTCGGGGAGTGGGGTAGACGCGCTCGCCGAAGAAGAGCTGCCTACTCCCCCAGCTCCCTCGAAGTGGACGTACTCGACAGTGAAGTCATCGTACGTCGGAGCCGAGCCATCGTCCACCGCCTTGTCCCACGCCCATCCTCGACCTTCGTCGAACACAACGTCACGCGCCGTGCGCACACGCTGTCTTCGGGTCGAGAATGCGGTAGGCCTTCGAGCCCTCCGCGTAGCCGATGAACACTCCCGAGTGCTCGCGTCGTCGAGCTTGGCCGATGTGGCCAAGCTCCTTGGCTTAACGCGAGGTACCAAGACCCGCAAGTGGGAGACCGCCGGCTTGCGCCCATGCCAAGCCTCTCGACGGCGCCCCGCCGCCGAAAGTGCCTTTGGTAGGCGAAGCGGTTGAGGATGTAGACGGCCGACACCACCGTCTCTCCCGAAGAAGGCAGCATCCCCTTTGCTTGAGAAGGCCCGAGCCATCCCCACAACAACCGTCCCGGTTGCGCCGCTCAACGACGCTGCTCGTTCGCGCGCTGAAATGACGGGTAGAGTAGTGGCGCTGAATGCCCTCATCGCCGCTAGAAGACGACGCGAATTCAGCCGCCGTTGCCGGTCTTGTGAGATGCGCGCAGCTTTGCGGCGCAGACTCGCCTCCGCAGCAGAACTGCGTGCAGCTACCGATGGCGTCCATGCCTCTCTCCCTTTGCAGCCGAGGACCATCACCCACATGTAGCGGGAGAAGTCGCCGACGAGCAGCAGGCAGGAAGTAGCGTCGTCCTCCCGGTGTGGCGGTGTCACCGGGC